GCGCGTCGTCGCATGCGCGGGGATCTCGCCCCGCGACGGGGGGGGCAGCGCCGCGCTGCGCGAAGGGGGTATTGTGTGAGTCGGCGGGTAGCAGCTTTCGAGGACCCCATTGAGGCTTCACTCGGATTCCCGAGGAGGTGCTGCTGGAATATCTCCTCGGCATTCGGGACAACGTCCGCAGGACTGTTCCGGAGATTCGCAGAGATCCCGAGGAATATGCCTCAGGATCCCGCATAATCAGGAACCTCCTAAAGATCCATTCGGGAATACATTTGCCTCCTGATTCCTCAGGAAGACAATATATTTTTCCGGAGGAAGCCCAGGGGACTCGTGGAACGAGGCTTGGACTCCTAAGGATCACGGATGCCTCAAGAAGTTCGTTGGAGTTCTCAGGGATCTTTTAGATGAACATTTCCGATCTTCAGAAGTCCAGGGGTCATCGTCAGGAAGCCCTTAGCCTCGCGAGGCAGCCGTTTGGGTCCTTCAAGACATGCTCAGGGCTGCTGCGGCAATCGTTGCTCGGGGGACGCAGGATGGGGAGGAGGAATCGGTTGAGAAGGAATGAGGGATTCACGACGACGAGGGATGATGAGCGGATGGAGGAGGGACGGAGGATGGGAATCGCGTCTCAGGTGCCGCCTCCCTCCACGAGACCGACCTTCCTGGAGGATGACATCGAAATGGCGGACCCGGAGTTGGCCTTGGGGGAATTCGTCGTCTGAGCTGAGGCGGGGCCAGTGTCTCACAGAGCTGGAGCTTACTACATTCGCGCTGGATTAATTTTTTTAGCATACTGTGGATCGGGGGCCCAGACGTGTGGCTAGTTGTCCAGCGCCTACTACCCCCTGCAGCCTTCTCTCCCCCCCTTTTCCTTTTTGTTCCTTCAAGCCAGGGTGCTTTGCCGAGAGTAATGTCCCGTATCCGGCCAGGGTAGTTGCGCACAATGCTGACCCACATATTCTCTCCGTGATCACTCTGGCTCAGGATTGCACGGCGTGAGGTGTGGAGATAAGGTGCCTTGTGAAAGAGCATCGTTGTTCTTCTTCTCCCTTGCATCATGGTCTCCAACGATAGGAAAAGGGAGAGGGATGGAATATTCGGCTTTGCGGGGGAGGGGGGCCTGGTTCCTCATTCTTCCTCCTCCGCATCCTTCTTCCTTCCTCCTCCTCCTCACGGAGGCGTCGCTGGATATGCATGCTTTTGGGCCCCCCTTGTTGCGTGAAGGGTGTCTGCATGAGCCTTAACGCGGCCGCCCCTTCCGCTCACATCTGTTTTTTGTAGCGTGTGCCATCACATTCGCCTCTCCCCGACCCCTTCTTCCCGCTCCCGCTACCCCCCCCCCCTGTCTCTCTCTTTTGCTCTGGCTCTCTCTCGCTCTCTCCCTCTCTCTGTATCTCTGTGTTGGTTCCCCTCCTCGCCCCTCCCCTCCTCCCCCCCCAGCAGCAGGAGCGGAAGGAGCGGGAGCAAGAGCGGAGTCGGGAGCGTGAGCGGGAGGGATGGATGGATGGAGCGTTTCGGGAACAGCAGTCTTTCAGTTCGTCTGCCAACCGAGTGCACCTCAGTTTTATTCCTAGCTTGCATGGATCGCCGGACACCGGAGCGGGCGAGGTCGATTCCTTAGTCTAACCGCAGCCTGGACAGCTAGCAGGAGAGCCGCAGCAGCAGACGGGGGGGAGGAGGGTGGAGGGACGGGTATCCCGTGAGATTACGTATAGATGTCTACAAGTGTGTTGAATGGTTCTGGGGGATCCAGTTGCCAGGGAGGGGGATGATGATGATGATGATGCTGCTGCTGATGTTTATGATGATGGTGCTGCTGATGATGCTGATGATTCGGATGGTGCTGATGATGGTGGTGATAGTGATGGGTGATGGGTGATGGTGTTTGTGATGGTGATGGTGATGATGACGATGGTGATGAATATGATGATGAGGGTGATGATGCTGGTGATGATAATGGTCGTGATGGTGATGGTCATTGTCATGGTGATGATGCTGATGGTGATGATGATGATGATGATCATCATGGTGATGGTGTTGATGGTGATGGTGATGGTGTTGGTGACGCTGATGATGATGCTGGTGATGGTGATGATGATGGCGACTGTGATGATTATGAAGATGACGACGATGGCGATGGCGATGACGATGGTGATGCTGAAGATGTTGATGGTATGTATGTATGATGATGCTGATGATACTGATGATGCTGATGATGATGCCGATGATGATGAGGAGCAGGAGAAACATGAGGATGATGACAGTTAAGACCAGGATGCTGGTGCTGATGATGATGAGGATGATGCTGATGATGACGATGATTGTGGTGGCGATAGTGGCGATGATGGCGGGATTGATGATTATGGTAATGCTGATGGTGGTGATGACGATGCTGATCGTGGCGATGATGATGATGATGATGATGATGATGAGGATGATGAGGATGAGGATGAGGATGAGGATGAGGATGAGGATGCTGATGGTCACGGTGCTGATGATGATGGTGGTCGTAGTGATGGGTGATGAGTAATGGTGTTTGTGATGGTGATGTTGGTGATGTTGGCGATGATGATGGTGATGATGCAGATGGCGATGATGCTGTTGATGGCAATGGTCTAGATGGTTGTGGTGATGGTCATGGTGATGATGGTGATGGTAACGATGAAGATAATGGTGATGATGGTAATGATGATGGCGATGGTGATGGTGATGATGCTGCTGATGGTGATGATGATGATGATGATGATGTTGATGATTATGCTGATGACGACCATGGTCATGACTATCACGATGGCTATGTCGATGATGTTGATGATGATCGTGATGCTGATGATGCTCATGAAGATGATGCTGATGATGCTGACTATGATGATGCTGACGATGATGATGCTGACGATGATGATGATGCTGATGCTGATGCTGATGATGAATTTGGCGAGGAGGATGATGAGGAGGAGGAGCAGGCGTATGATAAAGATGATTCTGCGGACCAGGAGGAGGAGGGGGATGAGATGGAGGAAGAGCATTCAGGCACGGAGGAGAAGTTTGAACCAGAGGAGTTTGACAACGCCGAGTTGTATTTTTGTTTGCGGGGGCTGGAGCGGTGGGAGATGAGATTTGAGGATGGGGGTGGGCGGGAACATCTTGTCCCTCCACCTCCTTCATCCATCCTCTTGCTTATCCTGGTCCTCCCCCTTCCATTCTCCTCCTCCTCCTTCTCCCCTTTCTCTTCTACGCTCGTCTCCTTCTCCCCTTTCTCCCTTTCCTCCCCCTCTTCCTGCTCTTTCTACCCCATCCTCCTCATCATCCTTCGTCCTACTACCGCGACTTTTTTTCTCCCTCTCCGCTACGGGCAGGAGCAGGAGCAACAGGCAGAGGAGGAGAAGGACGAGGAGAACATGGATGTGAACGTGGGAGGTGGCGGGGCAAGGAGGGCGAGGAGGAGGAGGACGGGAAGGGCTGAAGGAGCTGGGAGTCGAAGGAGGATGCGACGATGGGGATTTACTCGGAGAGGCGAACTGGAAGATGGAGGGCAAACGATTGGAGAGGACCCGAATGTGGCGGGCAACGCAATCGAGGGCAAGATCGGTGACAATGAGAATATTGGAGTTGGGGAGGGGGCGCCAGGGAAACTAGGAAAAGGGAGGAGTAGAGGGAAGAGGCTGGAGGCGGGAGGCTGGAGTCGGAAGGGGGGAGGGAACAGAAAGAGAACACTGGCGAAGGGGTGAGGGAGGGATGAGGAGGGCACGGGGAGGGAAGAGCAGGGAAAGGCAAAGGGGGGGGGGCGGATGGCAAGTGTCAACGGGGGATTGCAAGACGGATATGTGCATGAGGGGAGGGGGAAGCTGGGAGCGGTGAGCGGGAAGGGAAGTGCTGCGGGGACGCGAGAGGGACGCAGACGACGACAGGCGGAGGATGAAGACGACGAGCGGAGGAGAACGAGGAGGCGGAGGAGGGGGGAGGAGGGCCTGGAGGCGGTCGAGAGGAGGAGGAGGAGTGGGGGAGGAGGCCGAGGAGGGGGAGGAGGCGGGGGAGGGGGGGAGGACAAGCTAGGTGCGCTCGCGTCATATCTGACGTCCTACCCCTCCCTCCCATCCCTTACCATGGCGCTGATTTTCTCTATCCGCGGACGCGTGTCGTAGCGGACCTGTGGCTCCGCGCGCGCGTGCGTAGTGGGTGGTGGTGCACGTGCGTGCGTGCGTGCGTGTGTGCGTGGTTGTCGTGGTGGTGGTGGTGGTGGTGGTGGTGGTGGTGGTGGTGGTGGTGGTGGTGGTGGGTGGTGCTGGTGGTGGGTGGTGCTGGTGGGTGGTGGGTGCTGGTGTGGTGCTGGTGGTGGTGGTGGTGGTGGTGGTGGTGGTGGTGGTGGTGGTGGTGGTGCGGCGCGGTGGTGGCGGGCGGATGGGCGCGCGAGAAAAGGCCCGCGCTGGGGCGAGAACGCCATCCTGAACGACGGAGGCCAAACACCGATCCGAAAATGAGGCCCACGCTGCAGCGGGAGCACGATTCGGAACGATTCGGGAGCAGAAATGAGGCCGGCGCCTCAACGAGAGCAGCATTTGGGGAAAAAATGACGCATGCGCCTCAGCGAGAGGTGTTTCCCGGGATTTCCCGGGCATCCTGTGTGTAAAAAAACAGTACGCAAAGGATGCGCGGCTATCACCCGGACGCCATCAGGGGAAGGATTCGGGAGCAGAAATGAGGCCGGCGCCTCAACGAGAGCAGCATTTTGGGAAAAAATGACGCCGGCGCGAGGGCAGCATTTTGAGAAAAAATGACGCCGGCGCCTCAGCGAGAGTCGTTTCCCGGGATTTCCCGGGCATCCTGTGTGTAAAAAACAGTACGCGGAGGGTGCGCGGCTATCACCCGGACGCCATCAGGGGAAGAGGGAGAGTATATTCATATTGAGTAATTGTGGAGGAGGAGGAGGCGGAGGAGGGGGGAGGAGGGGGAGGAGGCGGAGGAGGGGGGAGGAGGAGTACGGCGGCGGAGAGGCGGGGAGGGCCTGGAGGGGGTCGAGAGCCGCGACCCTCCGTGCCACGGGCCGACCGCTGGTGTGCGGTGTGGGGGGGGGGGGGCGCGGACGGCGCCGGCTGCTCTGGTGCCGCAAGCCGCCCTCTGCGAAGCAGAGGGTCAAGCAGTGGCGGAGCGTCCCGGCTCGCCTATAGCCCCACCGAACAATGTTCTAAGAACCTTTGTGCTATGCACGAAATGTTCTTAGAACATTTCTGGCTTGGACTGTCTTGTATTGTCACATCGGGTTTATGTTCTAAGAACATTGTTTCTGTTATTAGAACATATTTGGATTCTAAGAAAATTCGTGGTAGGACTATAGGAATGCCGGGACGGTCGGTCCCTGCTCAAACAGATGCGCTCCCAAGAGATGGCAAGAATCGAGGCGTTCCAAGAATGGCCTCGCCTTCGAGGATCGAAGGAGTTGGCATCCCTTCCGCCGCGAGAGCCGGCGGAAGGGCGGCGGAAGGTGGCGGAAGTAAACGATGCGCCCCCAAGAGACGAAAACATGTTTGGGTCCAGGGGTTCCGGAATCGGCCAATTTGAGTCCAGGGTTTCCGGACCGTGACCTTCTTCCAGGGTGCGCGGGGGTTCTTCGCTCCGCGCGCTGCACGGTGCCTTCCCAGGGCCGTTGAGGAAGCCAGTGCGTTCAGGGTGCTCCGGGTTCCCCCCCTGTCGGCTCCTCGCGCGCGGGTTTGCAGGGCCGGGTTTCCCACGAGGGCTTCTGCAGGGGCCCTCTGCACGGTCGAGAGCTGTGGCTTAGCGTGTCGCGCCCCCAGCTCTGTCCCGCTGCGGCCTCGGCGCGACAGGCGAACGTCCTGGCCCCCCCGGGCGTCGACGTCCTGAGCCTTTCGCGACGCCCCGCCCCGCGGAGCGGAGCGACGCGCCGCGCGCTCGCAGGGTGATGCGCGTCGCCCGAGCCGCTGCCGCGACAGACGTGAAGCACAAGCTCCCGACCGTGAGAGAAAAGTTCCCGGCCGTTGCCGGGCCTGGAGGCTTGCAAGAGGGCTTCGCGGAAGCCAGGAGGGCCTCTACGAGGCCACCTGCCTTCTCAGAAGCCCGCCCGCCGTCTCAGAAGGCCGCATCCTTCGCGCCAGTCCATTGTCTCTGGACATCCTAGATGGTGTCGGAGTAGATGGCGTCGGAGGATCGCGCCGCATCGCCGTTGCATCGCCGATGCGGCTCGATGTGCAGCCCGACTTGCTCCACGTTGACGTCACCGGAGCATCGCCGACGTCGACGATGCATCACCAGTGTATCGCGGATGCATCGCCGATGCATCGCCGATGTATCTGCGATGCGGCGTGATCCTCCGACCCCATCTACTCCGACCCTATCTAGGAGGCCTCTATTGCCGACGCCGCTGGACGATGGTTGAACACCCCGACTGGCTCTCCTGACAGCCGCGCGCGACATCTGCCAGCTCGGCCGCCGCTGCCACCGCGCTTCTTTTTCTGTTTGCAAGCCGCGTTGCATCGCCTAATTCGGCCTCTCGTAGCTAGTTGTTTTGCCGTCCTCGCCACCGTGCAATCACCACTGTGCCCCGGCCTCGCGGTCACGCCATTCGGCGCTCTCCGCGCCGGAGCAGTAATTACCGTTGCAGTAATTACCGCTGCCGCCGCGTCATGGCCTGCGGTCGGACCAGCGGGTTCGGAAGCTGCACGAACGTGCTTTGGAGCAGCTCGGTCTCGTGGTTGGTTGGGAGAACAGGGCCTGGTGATAATGGAGCGTGGGCATAACGGTGACGATGACAATAGAAGTGGGCAGGGCGGCTTCGGGGGTCCATGTATGCAGATGACGTGGTTCGTGGTATGCCATGGCATCGCAGGTGCACTTGATTGGCAATGTGGTCCATTGGCGCCGTTATCGGCACAACCATGGTAATCACGCAATGTCCATCGAATTGACACCGGGGCCACCAAGGTGGTTATCAAGATCAGCATTATTATATGCACGCCCATCGTTCAACCATTTTGGCCGCTGGGCTTAGACTAGACCCATCGTCTAGATTTCAAGGCGATGCGATTCCTCAATATTCACGGACCCAGCGATGCAGATGCTTACGTCGAACCAGACGCATGTGTGTTGAGTAGGTCCAGCGGGGAAGCCGAACCGCCGCGTTTCGATCTTCCCGTCCTCCTCGCGTCCCACGTTGCCGCAGTATGTAGGTGTCTTGTTTGTAGCGATAATGGTGCCATAACGATAGACAGCGATCGTGATGAAGAACATGCCGTGACACCATCTGTGGCCCGATGGTCGTTATCCATCCGCATTGCCATCATGATGACATGCCGCCACAGCCACGACCACGACCAGCACGAGACAGAACATAGGAACCGATGCCGTTCTCATCTTTCCAGGGTCTTACGCGCCATTCCGCCGACACCTGGAAGGAGATGAGCGGATGCCGAATGTCCTCTCCTGCAGTTTTGAGGCTTCTGGGAGTCCCGTGGATGCCACGTTGAGTCACGTTCGAGGCTTCTTTTGGGACCCGTCTGCGAGCCTCTGGGGCCTTGTCGTTTTTTGTTTGGGGGTCCTCTTCGGGGCGGTGAGGGACCTACCAGAGGCCGTCGCTGCAAAAAGAGGAGGTCATGGGGCCACGAAGCGTGTGATGGGTGTGCCGACATGGGGGTGGAACCGCATGCGAACGCAGCCAGTGGGGCCTTCGGTTGGAGCTCCCGATGGGGCCACGAAACGTGTGAGGGGTCGCCGAAATGGGGGTGGAACTGCATGCGAACGCAGCCACTGGGGCCTTCGGTGGAGCTCCCTATGGGGCCACGAACCCTCTGAGGGGTGCGCCGAAATGAGGGCGAAAGTGCATGCGAACGCTGCCACTGGGGCCTTCGGTGGAGTTCCCTATGGGGCCACGAACCCTGTGAGGGGTGTGCCGACATTGGGGTGGAACCGCATGCGAACGCTGCCATTGGGGCCTCAAACCCGGGGTGCGCCGAAATGGGGGTGGAATTGCATGCGAACGCAGCCACTGGGGCCTTCGGTGGAGCTCCCTATGGAGCCACGAACCCTGTGAGGGGTGCGCCGACCTGAGGGTGGAACTGCATGCGAACGCTGCCACTGGGGCCTTCGGTGGAGCTCCCTATGGGGCCACGAACCTTGTGAGAGGGGTGCCGAAATGGGGGTGGAGCTGCAGGCGAACGCTGCCACTGGGGCCTTCGGTGGAGCTCCCTATGGGGCCACGGACGACATGGGGGTGGAACCGCATGCGAACGCAGCCAGTGGGGCCTTCGGTGGAGCTCCCTATGGGGCCACGAAACGTGTGGGATGTGTGCCGAACTTCGGGTGGAAGGCAACGTGTGAGGGGTGTGCCAACATGGAGCGGTGATGAAATTGGTGGTGATGATGATGATGATGATGATGATGATGATGATGATGATGATGATGATGATGATGATGATGATGACGATGACGATGACGATGACGATGATGATGATGATGATGATGATGATGATGATGATGATGATGATGATGATGATGATGATGATGATGATGATGATGATGATGATGATGATGATGATGATGTGATGATGATGATGATGATGATGATGATGATGATGATGATGATGATGACGATGCGGACGATGAGGAGGAGGAGGAGGAGGAGGAGGAGGAGGAGGAGGAGGAGGAGGGGGAGGAGGGGGACGAGGGAGGAGGAGGAGAAGGAGGAAGGAGGAGAACGCCGGGCACCGTCTCTTCAAAACGAGGACCCAACACCACAGGATGGTTGGGAAAAACCGCTTCGAACCGCTCACGCCCTACAGGGCTGGTTGGATTTGCAGTGGGCTCCGAGAGTTGGCAGAATTGGGAATTGTGACCGCTTGAGCGATTGGGAGAACTTTCATAATTAGGCAAATTTTCAGAGCTGGCATAGGGGGAGGTTGCGATGGCCGCGATACTAGCTCGTGGAAGTCGGGAGGTGTAAGAGAGTTGGATACCATAAGCTCGGAGAGTTGAGCGGAGCTTGGGAGATCCAGGGTCACTGGAAGACCTGGGCGGAGAATCTGGGAAGGCTGGGAGAGTTGGGACGGATTGTATCAATGTTGGCCCCCGGGAGTTGTCAAAGTTGCGGCCCTTGGCAGAAGTCTAGACGGTTCGCGTATCCCCACCAGCGCCGCCGTCATTGTTCGGCTTAATGAGGTTCATTTTGTTTCTCGCATGTGCATTCCGGCGTTGGCTTTTGGCCCACTGGCAATTATCTTGCTTGTCGCCCCAAGCTTGCTACGACCCGCTCTCTGGAATCGTCCTTGGAGCCGCAGATAAAAAAGTATCCCCACCAGCCCGTCCAGACATGCGTCTCAGGGGAGAGGAGGTTATGAGGGAAGCGGGGGAGCACGCAGAAGAACAACGGGCGGGGTGAGCCGCCATATACCCCAAGAGGGGGAGGATGTAGGAGGAGCCGTTGTTGTCGGAGTAGGAGGAGGAAGAGGAGGAGCAGGAGGAGGAGCAGGAGGGGGAGGATGAGGAGGATGAGGAGGAGAAGGAGGAGGATGAGGAGGAGGAGCGAGGAGAGAGAGGAGGACTGCGAGGACGAGGAGGACGAGAAGGAGGAAAAGGAGAAGGAGGAGGAGGAGGAGGAGGAGGAGGGGGAGGGGGAGGAGGGAGGAGGAAGAAAAAGAGGAGGAGGAGGACAATGGCGAGCTTGGGGGCCTCTTGGGCCGTCTTTGCGGCCTCTTGGCGATCCCGGGGGCCTCTAGCGTATATCGGGGAGCTTGTTGTGGCTCTTGTGGGTCTCTTGGGAGCCTCTGGGAGGCCTCTTGGGGGCCTCTTGGGGCCTCTTGGGGCCCTCTTGGGGCGCTCTTGGGGCGCTCTTGGGAGCCCCCGGGGCGCTCTTGGGGCCATCTTGGAGGAGATCTGTCAAAGAAGGGGAGGTCGTATATTAGCGCTGCCCCTCTAGAGTGCCTCGAATCGCCTCTGAGGCCCCCCCAAGAGGCCCAACTCCTTCCAAAACCTAAGGGAAATCAATGTGTTGTGCTTTTTCGCTTTTTCGCTCTTGGAGCCGTCTTGGGCCATCTTGGGAGCCTTTTGGGGCCTCTCGGGGGTCTCTTGGGAGCCTCTTGGAGGCCTCTTGGGGGCCTCTTGGGGTCTCTTGGGGCCCTCTTGGGGCGCTCTTGGGGCGCTCTTGGGAGCCTTCGGGGCGCTCTTAGGGCCATCTGGCAGGAGATCAATCAAAGACGGGGGGATCGTATATTAGCGCTGCCCCTCTAGAGTGCCTCGAATCGCCTCGTGGGCCCTTCTTGAAGCCAAAATCCGTCCAACACCTAAGGGAAGTCAATGTTTTGTGCTTTGTCGCTCTTGGAGCCGTCTTGGGCCATCTTGGGAGCCTTTTGAGGCCTCTCGGGGGTCTCTTGGGAGCCTCTTGGAGGCCTCTTGGGGGCCTCTTGGGGCCTCTTGGGGCCCTCTTGGGGCCCTCTTGGGGCGCTCTTGGGAGCCTTCGGGGCGCTCTTGGGGCCATCTGGCAGGAGATCTATCAAAGACGGGGGGATCGTATATTAGCGCTGCCCCCTTAGAGTGCCTCGAATCGCCTCTTGGGCCCCCCCAAGAGGCCCAACTCCTTCCAAAACCTAAGGGAAATCAATGTGTTGTGCTTTTTCGCTTTTTTGCTCTTGGAGCCGTCTTTGGCCATCTTGGACGTCCCAACGACCCGCAGAACTCCTCGTCCAGGTCGGTGGGGAGGGGTAAGGGGAGGGGTAAACTCCCCGAAGGGAAAGAAGGGGGTTGGCAGAGGAAACGCTCTAGAGCACCTACGCCCTAACGGGCTGGTGGGATTCACTTCGATAGCAGTTCCACGAGGTGGGGTGGGTAACCAGCGGCTTGGCACGAGTGCCGCAACCCAGGGGGCAGGTTTGTTGACCCCAGGTGACCTCAAAGCCAGCTTGTATTTTGATGTTGGCACGGCTTCCGCCATAGCCCTGGGGAGGGCTTCTACCCTGGTCTTGGATGAGATAGGGTAATGTTTCTTAAGGCCGAATATGCCCATGTGGGTGAGTTACCGCCAGGAGAGTTAGAGTGTGGGTTACCGCTCGGAACCATGCACTACGTGAGTGTGAATAGTAGTCTTGGGGCGCCCAACGGGGGGGACTATTCTAAAAGCGTGGGCCTTTGCTTGAAGATAATCGTGCTTCACATTCGTTGGCAGATCTGTGGGTGCTGGCCTGTAGTGCAAGGGCCTGCTCTTGAAGATCAATAAGCTATAAGGTAGGGGGCGATCGTGCGCCTGTTGGATCGAATCCAGTATACTTACAGGAAGGCCTTTGCCATGTGCTGGCCTTTTATTCGATATCGTCGGCGAACCACTGCTTTAGCATGACCGCTGCGTTTGCGTAGTCGCCTCCCCTCTCAGGGATGCCAGTCCTGGATTCGATCGGATCCATGATGGGTATTGGGGTGAGGAGGGGGTGATGGCCAGCGACGCGGTCCCTCGGTGAACGAGGATCGGGTGGTCCACATCCAAGCTTTCACGAAACCGATGTTATCTATCACCCACCGCTCAGGTTACGAGGTAGGTTCACCCACTTATCCACCATAAGTCTACTTTCGGGTGAAGGGGCCTGTCCATGCCTTAATAGCCCAGCCGAGTCAATCCGTTCTTGTCTCGTTATTCCCTCCGTCTGCTCCTGTCATCCTCCTCTTGCTTCTCCCTTCACCCCCACCGAAGGGTGAGACGGAGGACTGCCCGCTGATCTCAGTTGC